AACCTGATACGTACAGGAATAGATAGCCATGCAGTGCTCAGGCAGGACCACACCTGTACATCACCTGACAGTTCCTGCACACATAGCCACATATAACATGACGGATGGGAGACTGACTTCACCACATAAACCACTAAAGACTCCTTCACACCCACAGCATGCAGCGTCCACAAGCTCCCGCTTTTATGTCACCGAAAAGGAAAACACCGGAACATCTCACCATCAGATACAGTAACTACGGATGCAAGGACATGGTTAGAGAGAGTTACCGTGGCTACTTAACAAGCGCGTCGGCCGCCTGGTGCACGCTGCCTCTCTGCACGCCTCCCTCTTCCTCCTCCCCTCTTTCCATCTTTGATTTTTTTTTCTCTTTTTTTTTAGCCTTCACTGCGGTGTCTTTACCCCAAGCCCACTGGATCAGCCACACAGTCCCCGCGCGCTTCTGCCTGCCTCTAGTAGCGCCTGGGAGGCAGTTAGCATCTCCAACAGCTCCCCTGCCCCTCCTCCTTCTCCTCTTCCTGCTATCTCTCTCTCTCTCCTCTTCTCTCTATCTCTCTTGTCTATCACTTCTTCCTTCGTCCGACAAAACGCAGCAGCTTTGAAATCCCCTGTTTCTTCCAGTCTCTCACTTGGAACAGCATGTGCCTTTTTTTTTTCTTTTTCCTCTCAATGCTACGGATTTGCCAACCATATGATATCACTTGGCTGCCATATATGGGCACGGCGGGTTGCCATGACGACATCAGACTCCACCTGTTTTGCCCCATCCCTCTCTGTCGCGGTCCACCTTTTTTCTGTAGGAGATGGATGGGCTAATTAGGGTTAATGTTTGCACCAATCTGAAGATGGCATACAACAGGGACCAGTGATAAATTTGACACAAAGTAAAAGTGACTATGTGGAGACATCAGCAGTGGCCTATTTTTTTTGTAATTAAAAAAAAAAAACTAAACAAGCATTGCAATTTTCTTACCATCAGTGATTTTTATGTCAATACATGAGGTCCTTGCTTCTAATTATTTTGAATCCTTGCTGTTCCCTGCGCAAAAACAGTGATTTAAATAGGGATGATTAATATGTATAGTTGCTCACAGTGATATCATGGTAGGGTTGTCAAAATAAATGAAAAAAGATATCTAGATAATTTTATATAGCACTTTTCATCAAGGAATCACTCACCCATTATACATCAGTGTACACAGTCACTGGGTGGGTTAAGTGTCTTGCCCAAGGACACAATAGCATTCATCTGTGGGAGCTGGAATTGCACCGCCAACCTGTGAATCAGTGGATCTGACCGCTCAACCAATGATGTTTATGTCAAGAGCAGGATTCAAATCTTTGGATCAGTGGAGAAATGCTCTACCAACTGAGCTACTCCTCTTACTCCTTATCACTGTGGTACCGAAATCAGTATCGGTAATCACCTTTTCCTTAGTATTAAAATTGAGTTTGAAGTTTTCACACGGCAGCAACACTACATTATGGGCATTCAAATGATAACGGCATAAACCGAACTTCTTCTGTAATATAAATAAAGCTTTGACAGAAGTTTGTAAGTATTGACACGATGCATACTGCTATAGAGCTAAATGAGACTGAAATGAATTTCACCACTGCCATATGAAATCGATAATTTTGAAAAGTTATGTTTTAATGGTGAATGTCCAGCTATAGATTAAATAGCTGAAGCTGTCCTGACTTCTCCCTCACTGTTGTGTAACCAGTCTGGCAGCCTCTCTGCATTTCTGAATTGATTATCTTTGCACAAACTTCTGCCTCCAAGTCGTACATTGGATTTAGACCGAATATTCTGCCTTTTTACCTTGACAGAATCAAAGTAACTAAGTAACTCTGGAACTCGAGCTAGAAATTACAGGATCTTTTATGCTTCAATACCTTACATGATACTTGGCTCAATGAATAGGCCTCCTGTATTAGAAAACCAGGTTTACTTCCTCTTTTTAAAGGACCTATATTACACTATTTTCTGATCCACGTTACAATGTTGTTTCCTGAAGATTTATTTTGTTTCATTGCATATGTTTAACACAAAAAAACCCTGCATATTTAGGCTGAGTTCTTCTCTCAAAACATGAAACACCCTGCTCCACCTTGTGATGTCATGTGGTTATATAGGAAGTGCTCCATTGTGTTTATACAGTGGAGCATGATTTTAGCTCTGGAATTGCCCATCTCTACTGAATAAAAAGGTAAAAGGTAGCTGTTAATTTGAAAACTATCACTACATGACATCACAAGATAGAACAGAGCATTTCGGGCTCTGGAGATGTAGACAGACTAATAATAAAGGGTTACTCAAACATGTGTGAATGAAACAAAACACTACTCCGGGTATGTTTTTGATGAGGTAACAGCATTATAACATGGCTTAAACCTCACGTCAATTTTGCATGATATGATATATAGAAGATATATTGATATTTTGGCACACTCCTACAATTAACACTAACTTCTGACATTTATTTAAACTGACATTAAAATAACATGAAAAGGTTGTGTTTGAGAGTGAAGAAGCAGCTCCAAAGCGCACGGAGGAGCAGGCTGTGTGGCTCTGACCATCTGCTGCAGGTATCACAGACAGAGCTCAGTGATTGATGGCACTTCAAAAGGAAGACCAAAGACTTAACTGGCATTTTTACATTTCTATCACGTTTTGATGATTATATTCTCATCTCATAGTCACATTCTGAGTACTGGATACCATCTAGTTACAGAAACATTAAGTGCTACCAAAAACTTCGACAAACTGGAGGCTTGATTTCATTGTGTAAGTTGAATAGTTTGAAGTGGCAATTATTTAGTAATTGCAATGTCCTGTAGAGATCAAAATAGCCCGTAACCATGGGACCTATTCTTTCTAAAAGCTGTTAACACTGCAGTTTAGAGTTGACATCAAACTTGTTCTTAATTATGTGTCATTGCTGTATTAGTTTAGCTTTTGATGTCAGTGTTCTCTCAATGTTAACGCCAGTGCTACAGCTCAACTTACTGATCTGAAAAAATTGAACTGATATTTTTTGCCAAACTTGTTCATCCCCAATAGTGAGTACACGATGACTCTCATACTCATATCATGTGCTACTGATGCTTTGAAGTAAAAAGCCTTCAAGCTGAGAAAGGTTACACATGTCACTTAGCCGCATGTGCAGTGAGATGTGTTGAATGAGTCAACGTGTCAAATGATGCTTTGTGGTTTTGTTGCCTCTGAGTTTATATTATTTTATGATGCAAATATCAAACATAAAGAATGTTAAAACCAGCGATGCACAGATACAGCTTTTTCTGTTCCAATACCTGAAATAAATCGATATCAGTGCAGAGAATTGTATCTATTTCCTTTAAACACAAATGGTATGTGGGAAACATAGCCAAATGTGTTTTATAATTTATTTATCATTTATATTCATTTATAGCTATTACAGAACAGCTTTGAAAAAATACAAGTTCAATAATACAATGTGTTTTGGGCCAATATTGGCAAGTAAATCATCTTATTACACCAATTTAGACTAAAATGGAATACTGACTGAACCAATATCTTGGGACAGATATTTTCATCAAAATTTCCAATATAGCCGATATATTGTACCAGTGCATCCCTAATGAAAACGTGTATTTTAAAATGTCACCACAATGCATGTCAGTTTATTCTACAGCCCCACAATAATAGCAGACAGTCCTTCCCTCAGGGTTGAACAGTGACCTGTGTAAAATTCTACATACATTAACATACAGGATAGTGGTAAATGAAGAGAAAACGTGGTGCGTGGGCTGTTGTTGCCCCGTTTCCATAGCGCCAGGAGGTCAGTGCACAGTTTAATGAGGATGAAGTGTAGTGAATCATGAGCCTCGGCCTTGACAGCCACCAGATCACGGACCCACAAACAGCTAAGGGGGTTTTTCAAGCAACATGCTACACCTCGCTATGGACGCTAACACAACATGACAGACCAGGAACTGCATCAAACAAATACACAGTAGATGTTGTGAATAAGAGAATGTTGTAAAAGAAAATGAATTTGAGTTTAGTGTTTTATTCTCCCAATTGAGATGGGTTTTTTTTTTTTTTTTTTTAAGAATAGTAATAAAAAAGAATATCAGGCGTAAACAATTCAACTATTTCAGTGCTGTTAGACTCCTCCCCACTTTGCAGAATTAATTTATCACAATACTAAGAGATTATTGTAAGAAGAAACAACTCACGATTACTGACACCAAGACCAAGCAACAGTACAATCCTTAGCACACATTCATTCAGATAAAAAAAAGTCCTCTGTGTACTTTCTGAATGATAAAGTAAGCATGTGAACGCATGTAGGTTTACTCTTGAGAGTAGAGATTGAATTGCGATAACTTTTTTCTTTCCAAAATTCTGACAATTCCTTTTTTTTTTTAAAATTAGATCTTAAACACAGTAATCAATTAACCAAATAGTCTCCATGATTGGATTTCACAGAAATCCACCATGTTTTTCAGTTCCCTTTCAGTTCCCAGTCCCCTTTTTGCTTTACTTTTTTCCAGTACGGCAGATCATGCGTGTCCCTGATCGGTTAATCCATTTATCAATCATGCCCATTTTAAAACTGGGAGATTCAACAATGACCAGATTCAAATATTGAAGTAAATATTCAAGTATTGAAAAAAATTGTATTCTGGATGCCAAGCAAACAATTCATCATAAATGTGCCAAATTGTGCCTGTAAAAATTGTGGTTGAGGTTCAAATCCCTCACAAAATGTTCAAAATGTTGGTATAATTAGTTTCACTTTATGCCTGTATTTGAAAGAAACAAAACCTGCATGTTTTATTTGGTATTCATTGTTTGTTCAATTATTGCTCCAGTCATATCAATATTAACCATTTTCAATATACTTTCCACCTCTACTTCAAGTGCTAGTTATAGTTTTCTATATTGTGACATGGGCCTACTTGCTCCATGTATTATAGTTAGTTCTTATATGTGGGCAGTGATTTACCTGCCTCCCTGCTGTGACTGTGCCCTGGGACACTGTGCCCGGGCTGTTGGAGTACTTGTTCTTCTGCATATCCATCAGTGCATCCCTCTGCCTCTCTATGTCGGCCTTATGGATGCTGTTGAGAGCCTCCAGGCTCTTGGCGGCCACAGAGTTGTGCCGGCGGTCCAGGGAGGAGGTGAAGCCCCCATTGTTGGTGCTGTTTTCGGGGAAACGTCTGGTCCCACGCCCCCCTCCGGCCGCCAGGGTGTGGTACTCCCGCGGGAACTCGGCATCACTGGCAGAGAGCATGGGACCCTTTCTCTTCTCTCGACCTGCACAGAAAACAATGTTATAACTTAGATAGGCCTGTCACAATAGCAAATTTGAAGCATGATATATTTCTACAAAGATATACTGCGATAAGCGATAATGACACAAATACCACTGACACAATAAGAATATTGCAAGATATTTCCAGAAAACCATTTTAAAATAGACAGTTTCATTTAAGGCTTGAACCGCAAGAAATAAATAGCAGAATGAACCAATAATTAGCCACAGAAATTACTTTTTCAACCCTCTACAGCTCATGTTTTCATTAAGGGTGTGCAAAAATATTGAAATATCTATATATCAAATAATTTAATGTGATGATACAGTATCAATATCGTGGGCTGCTGTATCGAGATATCACCAAGAGTATTTTTTGATATATTTTACTAAATTATTTTGTTACAGCGCTACAGGTTTTTTGCTTGTTCAGAAGAAGGAAACTCATTTATGCAACAGGTTTGACATTTTCACTGTTTTGATGATTAAAATGTTTGTGTTTCATATTTACTTTGCACAAAAAGTGGTTTAACAAAGACTTTTAGTATCACAGCCATGATTAAGCCTTTATTTTTTACTGAAATGCATCAAAACAATTAGAAATATATCGTATCGAATCAAACGCTCACTGTATTGAGATATGTATCATATCGTGGCCTCTGTATCGAAGTATGTATTGTATCTGCAACTTCTCAATGATACCCAGACCTAGTTTTCATGTTACATCAAAAATACCAGAAATCTTGCCATTTTTACAAAGATATTGTACACATGATAAATATTGAGACCCAAAATATATTGTTCCAGTTTTAACATATTGAACGATAAGTCGACATAGTAATTATTGTGACAGGCTTAAACTTAGGAAACATAGAATACAAAGAAACGCCATTAAAAACCATTAAATGGTTGTAGACAGGCGTGCCAGTAAACTACTTCTTACAGTAGTGTAGGTTAAACTTGCCTACCAGCCAGTCCCTTCTATGTTCTGATTGTATGAAGAAGAGTAGGGAACTCATAACTATAAAGCTTGACAATCTTTACTTCAAACAGTCCAACTAGAACCGCTAATTTGCAGCACCTGTCAAATGAGAGAAACTCCTTTTGAAAATTCTCGTATTATTCAGACCAAAACATATAACTTCTCTTATCTCAGATACATAAAAGTTTAGTGCTTTCATTGTTTATTCTACAGAAATCCCCACCGCTTTTCAGTCCTCACTAGTATTATATTTTGCTTTTTACTTGTAAGCCACCATGTTTGTTTTGACTCAAACAAGCATTTCTGTGACCCACACATCTTTATAAAGTTTTGTTAGAGCATGTTGTTCTGACTGGCCAGGCAAGGAGTCAACACCTACAGTGGGTTGCACACATATTTGGCCTAGAATAGTTGTTTCAAAAGTAGAATTTTTCATTTTGAGTGGTTCAGAGTATTTTCACTGCACTTCTATAAAAGTCAACAAAGAATCCAAACGCAATAAACTACAACAAGAACAACAGAATAATAACTGCAGACCCAGGAAGGCAATACCAGATTCTCTCCAGACAGTTACACAAATGACAAATGGACAATAGTGTATGTGCATAGTAGGGTCGAACAATATCAGAAAAATATCAAATTGTGATTTTTTTTTCTGGCAAGCAATTGTAATGTATACAAAGTATAGAATTTATAGAGTACAGAGGATATTGATATTACTGCAATATGAACTGAAACACTAGTACTATAAGCCTGTGTATTTCAGAACATGTTTGTAGGGGTTTAAACTACAGTTAACCATTTTTGTACTCAATACGACAAGAAAGAAAATGTGTTGTTTCCATTAGAAATCATGTTGTCTTTGCGATTTACGATCAAACTTGCAGCGCTTGTACATGCAATATTAGTGTGTGTATGGTTATTTGCATAATTATTGGAGAAGCCTGTTTGCTTATTTGATATTTGCGGCATTTGAAGTTGCTCAATGAACTGCAATTAATTAGCAAACGCAGCATACATAGCCTGTCATAAACCCACACAGTAAAAGGTCCAGCCTCAAGGCGGTGGCAGCAACTGTGAGAGTGCTAACAACGCAAATACATGAGTGCATTTTCTATTCACACAACACTAAACAAAACACAGAACACATATAAAAACATACACCTCCAGGTATATAGCCCATCTGAACACATCTGCAGCATCTGTCTATTTCAAACACTCAGACTGTCCCAAGAACCCTGCGGCGACTGTCCCCCCTCTACACAGAATGACAAGAGAATCTGCCTGCATATGTGTCAGGATCGGTCGTGGTAAAGTGACACAAATGGGAGTGATTGCTTGGTGTTATGGGAACAGTTTAGTGCCCCCTTGTGACCAACGGGACATAAAGCACAAGGTAAGCAGGTTGAATGTATGGAAGGCAGTGAGTTGAGTACAGAACGGTGCAGTGAGTAGTCTAGGCTATTTCTTTGCCCTTTTAACTAACACAGAGTGGATGGCAAGTAATAATTAGTGAGAAAAAGGGCATTGATCTTTATTATACTATGCTTACACTGAGAGAGAGACGGGAGAGAGAGAAAGAGAGGGAGGGAGACGGAGCGAGAGAGAATGAGAAAGAGAGAGAATATTGATTTACAATCTATATACAGAAAAAGTAATCAATCTATTATCAAGCTCTAGTTGGAGGAGGTTCTCTGTGTTAAATATTTATTTTAGATCAATAAAATATATGCATCTAGAGGTGGTTAAAATATCTAAAAATGGATATTATTGGATAGTATTGTAACTGTTTTTCTGAAGATATTCAAAATGTGTACTGTCTGTAAATTAAACCATTAAAAACACAGCAAAAAGAGTGAGTGAAAATACAATGAGTGACATCTGTGTCACTCTCCAAAAATAGGGTATAACTGATATATCTTCTCTCTTGTTAATGTTATGGCTCTTTCAAAACTTGATCCTCATTCGCAAAAACCCTGCTCTGGGCACCAGCCAATCAGCGAAGAGCGATACATTCTGTGTTGGCAACGATTCCCGAGATCAAGGATTTAAAGCTGGAACAAAGAGAATGTTTGGTGAAATAGCAGCGATTGGTTAAATGAAAAAAAGTACCCGCCTACTGTCGAGCAAATGAATTCTAAAGCTGCGAGGTCAGACCACGAAGTGAAACCGGCTGATGAATCAGGCTATATATATGGAGCTAGTGTAACTTAACTCCTGTTTACCTCACCTCCTCTCCAGACTTCAATTACTCCTCCCCGCTGCTCGCTGCACCTCCTCTTCATCCAATCAGTGCCCAGTCTCCTCCCTAGCCCCCCCTCGGCTTCTCATCATCTCATCGTCAACTTCACTCTTCTCAGCCTCACCTCTACCACCTCCAGTGTCCAGACATCTCCTAAACATCTAATCAGCTACACCCTTCATCGCAATGTCTTCTGTTGGGTCTGAGCGCTTCCAAGTTGGAATATATATGTTATGATCGAGATAAGACTTGTGAAAAACAGGTTTATAGAGAAGATATCTACTTTTCTACATCCCCTGCCTCTTCCTTGACTGAATGAGACATTGAGGTGGCCTGAACTCACACAACAATAGTTGTATTTGTGCTGTGAACTGCTCCGGAGTGATGGGAGACTGGTGCATACCTCTGTGCATCCATGGCAGGGGGAGCCGCAGAAGAAAACAGGGAATAGAAGAGAAGCAAGGCAATGATGTGACAAGGGTCTAGTGCGTTAATTTATGTGGAGCCTTGAGCAGACCCCGGTATGTGGGGGAGTGTGTATGTGGGACAAAGGGAGGCTATATTTCACCGGGAGAGGAAAGCAGGACTGGTCATCTGCAGCAGTGCACACTTAGTAGCTTTATGCTTGTATTTAGAGCAGTGGCAGCCATTAGCAAGGCAGTAACTCAATGCAACCGCAAACTATTATTTAACTAGTGATGTCACGACAATAGGCACCGACCAGACTACAGCCTAAACACTTAAAGTTAGCAATCTGATTTATGGGGGTTTAATAGAAGCTCTTAGCCTACTGTAGTCGGTGCCTTTTCCATATCAGTTACATGTACTGTTGGCCCCCCATAGTCTACAATAGGAAATGTCCATATTTCTTTTTAAAGTGCTTACTCAAGATATCACTGCATTAACATTGTGAAAAATAAAGCTCCTACATACATTTTCCCTAAAAAGTGCTCTGCATAACATAATGGAGGGTCCACCACCTGTTTGTTTCATAGAAATGTTATTGCTTTGTCTAGAGTATAGATTATTGTAATACATTACAATTCAGCTCTGTGGATAGTCAACCCTATTCAGAGAGAATTATTGAATTTTTGAGCAATAGAAACAATGAAAGAAAATGCTAGATGGAAATGTTTAAATTAAAGTCATACCATAGTAGCAGATCATCAACCAGAAAAGTTGCACAGTGCACCTTTAAGTTGTAGAAGTAGTTGGTACTAGTAATTGGCATACTGGTGCACATTAATTCCATTATTTGACAATTGTAGCCATATTCTCAAAATGGTTGTATAATTACTGACTGAAAATGTACAATAACAATTTTATTCTGGAATGGCTCATTCCATATTCTACATAATAAAAAATATGTACAGTATGTGTTGGTAGTAGCGGTAGTAGTACCATCAACTATGCTTTGAGTAGTTAAGTACATGTCCAAGTAAAAGTAATTGCAATAACAGAAATGCAAGCAATAATTTTAAAATGGCAAAAAAAAAAAAAACTATAATTTTTTTCCTCATATTGACCAATGACGACTTTTTAATTTAAAGGTGCACTGTGTAACTTTCTGGGAGGTGGCGCTACCACCTGCTTGTCTTTGTGATAATGTTATTGCTTTGTCTGGAATATTTCACAGCACACCATTAAACGTATCCATCTTGCATTCATTCAGTTAAAGCTGTTTTAATTGCTCAAAAATACCTTGAAAAACATGCATTCTTACTGTGAGTGGGGTCACCTCTCCATAGATCTGGCCTGTAACTTTGTTTGTTTTTATG